ATTTTGCTTTTTACTCATAATTTATCCAAAAAATAAATTGTTGTTTTTTTAATTTTTTAAAAACGATAAAAAGATATACATATATATATATATATTACTTTAACTCAATTATTATCAGTTAATTTTAATTACTCACCTTATCATCAAAGCTTTTTTACTCATTTTTCTCTTAAGAATAATATATGTAAAAATGTAATCTGTCTATAATATCTTAATCTATAGAAAAGTCAAAAAATGATTATTACTACCTTTGTTCAAATTTGGCTGTTTTACTTTAATCTTTTAACTTTTTAAATATTAATTTCAAAGCACATTGATTAATATATCATCTAATTTAACACACTATATAATATATTTATTAAAAAATTTATTTTATATTTTAAAATTTTAAAAATAAACTTAAAAATATAATTATGCGTACATCATGTAAAACTAACTGAATTGATTATATTTATAGTATATTTTAGTCACTAAATTGGAGAGTGTCAAAAAATATGAATTAAAAGATAAATCTATCAATTTCTAATTTTGAATGATGAAAATTTAACATTCAAAGTAGGAGAACTAAATTTGAATAAAGGAATTTTGAAACAGAGGCAATACCAATTACTCCCTCTATTCGAGAATAGTTGGATATCCTTTGAACCAATCCATTGGGTTTATTGGTTCACCATCCAAGCCTAAGAGCCTAGGCTTAAATAGGTTGGAGGTTCTACTCCCACCTATTCCTTGAAAAAGAATTCCTCCTTCCCCAAATTTCTCTATGTTCAAAAAAAAAATTTGGTTGGATGTCCTTTTTTCCTTCAATAAAATAGAATATAATTTGGCAAAACCCTCAAATTCATCCTTAAAAAATATCAGTAGGGACACATCCACCCCTAAAAAAAAAGCAGAGACAAATTGCCCCTCCAAATCATAAATCAATACAAATCACCCATTTTTCAACGAAAAACGTTAGAATTATGTTTGCTACATCAGCATTTTTTAACGGAAAACATTGAAAAAGGGGTGATTTGTATTGATTTATGATTTGGAGAGGCAATTTGTCCCTGCTTTTTTTTTAGGGGTAGATGTGTCCCTACCAATATTTTTTAAGGGTGGATTTCAAGGATCTGCCATATAATTTGATATATTAATTGATAAATTTTATATTTATTTTTAATGAATATATATCCAAGTAGGTGTGGTTATCATGAGAAGTCTTTGGTGACCTCTAGTGACTATCTATTTTGTTGTAAGGGTGTTTTTATGTCAAGATATGGGTTCGAATCCTACTTTCATGTTCAAAAAAAAAAAAAATAGACATGATTATTATGATATGCTTTGTTGCACTTATATTTTTAAACTAATTGTAAAATATGAATAAAAATTTTAAAATGCCTTTTGGAGAGAGAGAGAGAGAGAGAGAGAGAGAGAGAGAGAGAATGGAATGTACAAAAGTAATTTCAAATATTTACTCAAAAAAGGACAAAAGTAATTTTTAAAACTCTAAATTAAAAATTACAACAACTAATTTTGGTCTGACGAGTATAAAAGATTTGAAGTTATAATTAAGATTAAAACATTTGTAATGCTAACTAATTAGATATAAAAAGATATAATAATTTTACAATTTATTTTGTATAAACTTTTTATTTTAATACTATTAATAGAGAGAACACCACAATATCATGGGACTTGCATCTCATCAATTATAATGAAATTTTTGTTAAATACCCTTTTCGGTCCCTTTATTATTAAATAAAAAAACCCTTTTTTTTATCATTGTACTGAAAAAACCCCTTTTTAGTCCCTGAAGATTGAAATCTGACCCCTATTCGATCCCTCGGTTAAATTTTTTAACATGTGACGGTTAATTAACAAAATTGTGTAATATGGAAAATCTACTTTGTTAAAAAAAATGATATTGATGTATTTTTGAGTTCACATTAGCATCTTCACCTTTCTGGCTCTTTTTTTTTTTTTTTTTTAAAACCTTTGCTAGGTTCATCATGAACCTACCTAGGCACACATTGGGTTCATTGCAAATCCAAGCGCACTCTGGGTTTACAATGAACCTAGCACGCACCTGGGTGGGTTCATCTTGGGTTCGCAAAAAACCTAGCGCATGCCTAAGTTTGTCCTAGGTTTGTGAAGAACCAAGCACACACCTGGGTTTGTCTTGGGTTCGTTGGGTTCTTCGTGAACCTAGGATGAACCCAGGCACGAGCTGGGTTCGTCGTGAACCCAGCAAAGGTTAAAAAAAAAAAAAAAAGAGTGTAGAAGGATGAAGATGTTGCCGTTGACTCAAAAATATATCTACATAATTTTTTTTTTACAAAATGGATTTTCCACATCACACAATTCCATTAATTAACTGTCACCTATCAAAAAATGTAATGAAGGGACCAAAAAGGGGCCGGATTTCAATATTTAAGGACTAAAAAGGGGATTTTTTCAGTACAGGAATAAAAAAAAAGGCTTTTTTCAATAGTAGAGGGACCAAAAAAGGTATTTAACCTAAAATTTTTTATCAAACATCAATTTTTTTGAAATAAAGATAAAATAACATACTACTCACTTGTCATTGTTTGGCCTCATCATCCACATGATGTTGTATTATGACAACTTCATTCTTAAAATCAAAGTTGTCAAACCATACCGACATATGTACTGGTTTTTGCTATTGGAACAATACATACTGAATATTGAAATTTTTTGCATACTGTTTCAGATTTATCGCTATAAATATATATTTTTATAAATTAAATATCAAATTTTAAAATAATGATAAGAGAAACTAATGTTTAAAACCATTATATTCTTATAAATTGAAAACAAGTTTAAAATGGTTAACTTTATAAAACATCCATAATTTTTTTTTTTTTAATATTAAGATAATATTAGAAGTATAATAGAGTTCTAAATTTAATATTATACAATTCGCAATACAAAATACTTTCACAAGGAAAGAAATCATGTCTTCTAAGTATAACAAGAATGCAAAAGACAAACCAAAGCATTACTAAGAAAAGAGTAGCAACTGATGAGCGTTGAGAATTAAAAGTCTAAATCTAAAAGGACTAAAATACATATTTTTAGTCCCTCAACTTCTAATATATGCATATTTTTTGTCCCTTCATTTTAAGTTAAGAGACTAAAAAAGTGCATATTCAAACAAATTTGTAATATCCCAAAATTTTGGAGCATTTTAGCATTAAATGGGGGACTTATTTGAGGAAAAATATTGTTTTGAGGTGTAATCGCAAAATTTTAAAAAGTTGAGGGGTTAAAAAAAAAGGAAATTTGGATAAGGATCGATTGCTTTTTCTTTTCTTTTTTCTTTCTTTTTCTTCCTTATCCGCACATCTGCTCTTCTTTCTTCTCCCCTGCACCCGAAAGCCCCCCTAAGCCACCGACGGCCTCTTCCTTTGAAAACCGGTAGAGAGCTTGATTTTTCCCTTCTTTTCTTGTCCAAGAACCTGATTTGGAACCCAGAAATCTTTCCCCCCTGCTGGAAAATCCGGATCTACTCTGTCGTTCCTCCCTTGTCCGCTGGCTGCTCTTGATTGTGGGTGATTTCTGGGCATATTTTCTGGTAAGAGCAGCCACTAAATCCTCTTTTCTCACTTGAATTGGCTTGGGTTAACCTTGATTTCTCTTGGTTCTCCAATTTTGGGTAGATTTCCCGTGAGCTTCCCCTTGAATTTTCTGCAGAGTGCCGCCGGCCTCTTCCCCCCTGCAGCTCCGGTTCTTGCTGGAAAATTCTGGTATGATGGCCACTTCTTTAAGCCCTAAATTAGCCATTTAGTTTGCTGGCTGTTTTGTCCGAATTTGACAGAAAAATAAGGGAGAAATTTGATAGTAATTAGACCATGATTTAGCTTGATTCAAGTGGGATTTATGTGTTTTGAGTGTTAATTGATTGCTGTGATGTTTTGGGTGAAAATCCCGTGAATTAGCTAGTGTTTTGGCTAATGTTTGGAAGTGGCAGTACTGTTCACGTCGTGAGCACTGTTCGCGGGTACTGTTCACACACGGAGGGTTAAGGATTAACGGGGATTTAAAGGATTAGTTTGTGATATAAAAATGAATTTGGAGATGTCTGATTATGTGGAGATTGATAGAAATAGTATCGTGATTGAGCGTAGTCTTAATGATGATTTCAGTGTGAATTTGTGATAGTACGGTATTGATTCTGAGGTGTTTTGATTAGGTTCTTGATCGTTCTGTCAGTTTAGTACGTGAATTGAGTGCTCGGTTTTGCAGACTGAGGTAAGTAAATTATGGTAAAGCCCTTCGATTTTAAAGCATGTTTTCAATTGTTTTTGAGATGGTGGCAAGGTTTAAATTGATTTTAAATTAATTTTATCAACATCTGAGTGTGATTAAATTGAAATGAAAATTTGGATGATTTTCATGAGAATTTCCTTGTTTTCTGAAATTGAGCATGATTGGAATGAAAATGAGGATTTTATTGATTTTCTGGAATTGAGCATGATTGGAATGAAAATGAGGATTTTATTGATTTTCTGGAAATGAGCATGATTGAGAAATGAAAATGAGAATTTCATTGTTTTGCTGGAGTTGAGCATGCCTATTTGGGAATTGACTGAACTGCTTTGATGAACTGAGAATTTTGTAAATGTTGAGTTTTCTGTTAAATCCATGCCCGCATGGAAATTTTCCGGTTTGTTCTGAAATTCGGGATTGATTGTGAAATTCTGGTTTTTCTGTAAATGCTGCATGGTTTTGTCTCGGATATAGTCATGATTACTGACGCCCACTAGTGGGAGCTGTAAACGCTAGCACATGTCGACATGTATTTCTGTGGAACCGGTTCACCCTACCAATGGGGTTAAACATTTGGTACTATTACTGACGCCTGCCAGTGGGAGTTGTAAACACTGGTACCATTACTGACGCCTGCCAGTGGGAGTTTGTAAACACTGGTACTTCTGAAACCCTACCAATGGGGTTAAACATTTGGTCTGAAACCCTACCAATGGGGTTAAACATTTGGTAATATTACTGACGCCTGCCAGTGGGAGTTTGTAAACACTGGTACTATTACTGACGCCTGCCAGTGGGAGTTTGTAAACACTGGTACTATTACTGACCCCTGCCAGTGGGAGTTTGTAAACACTGGTACCATTACTGACGCCTGCCAGTGGGAGTGTGTTAAACACTGGCCATGACTTATAGATGAGACTACTGAACTGAGTTTTCTGCTGCATTAACGTTTTGTTATTTAAACTGAATCTAATTTTGTCATTGAGCGTTTTGGTTATATTAAACTGTTTATCTGGCATACTTAAAAGTTTTACCCAAGGGCTATTCATATTTACTTACTGAGTTATCTCATAGTTTTCCTTGTCCACCATTTCAGGAAGCGATACCGAGGACGAGGAAACCAAGGGGGAGTGACGAGTTAGAAGGCTAGCCATCGTGTAAATTGAATATGGATTTTAGATATAAATGATGATCTTGTAAGCGAGATTTTAATTGGAGATTTTGATATCAGAGTAAATATTGAAATTTGATTGTAAATTCATTTAGTGGATAATTAGTTTATAAGAGATTTGATCTGGAGATTTTGAGGTTAAGTCGTGTTTGGACATAAGGAATTAAATTTGAAATATCTGATCTGGGTTTGGATTGTCAGATGTGATTTGGATAAGTTTCGAGCCTTGTGCATTCGTGGGACCTGATCACAAGTGCACGGTATCTGTCGCGTCTCCAGATTTGGGTTCTGGAGCGTGACAAAATTTGACAAAGTAACTAATAAAAGGACTAAAAAAATTCATTTTTTATAATTAATGGACTAAAAAAGTGCATAAAAAGGTTAAAGAATGAAAATTATGCAAAACATTAAAGTTAAGGACCAAAAATGAAATTTACCCTTTTTAAATTTGAATTGATTTTACCAGTCAATTCTCAATTTATCAACCGGTACGTTAAAATACTGGTTGGTATATCGAAATTTGACCAAAATGGACGAAACTTGAATTAAACGAAATTGAATCTTGTACCATTTCGAATTAATGAAAAACTAATACATACTAACTATACCGATCAATAGAAATACAATCAACAACATTGATGGAGATACGTTGAACAATAATATGTTTAATTTGATTTTTTTTAATTTTTAAGATCAAAAGTTTAAGTAAAAAATTTACATAGTAAATAAATGTCTATTAATTGGCCAAAAATTAAATGAATTAAATTTTTTTATATGTATTTCTTATTTAATAGTTTTATTTTGATAAAAAAATTTAATTTTTATTTCTATGTTATGTTAAATTTTTAATTCAATATTTTTTTCATAAAAATTAAAAAATAAAATTAAAACTACTGTTATTGAATTAAGAAGATACACAATTCAAGTACAAATGATTCTCGAAGAGAAAAAAACTAATGCGATGCCCTTATAAAAATTTATTTTAAGACCTTACAGCATGTGAGCCATCATGAGTCACATTTTCTATGTAAATAGTGATTAACTTATTACATTTCACGCTGTTAGTGGGACCTAACCTATGCTAACAGTACCAAATATACATTTTAAGGTCTAAATTTTTACAGAATTGATGTCGTGGAAATTAAGTTTAAAATTTAAAATTTAAAATTTAAAATTAATATTTAAAAGAATTATATTTTTTAAAATATCATGTCAATGTTGGGGTGTTGAGGGTGGGAGCCAACGAAGGACAGCTGGGGGCAGCCACCTCCCAAACTTTTTGAAGACATTTAATATGGTACTTTAATTTTTATTTGTTAAAAATTTTCTTTTTATATTATGAATTTTAAGGACCATTTCAAGTTTAGAGGAAATATTTAGAACTTAAATAAAGAGTTTTCAAAAAATGAGGATATTATTCAAATAAAATGAAATTTATGTTAATTTAATTAATTAGAAATTGGGTTCTCACACAATTTCTCATCTATTATACCAAAAAAGAGATTCTATATATAAACAACTTTAATTTACAGTTTTCTTTGGTATTTTTTTTTTAATTTTCTTTCTTAATATTCTATGTAATAATCTAAAGTTATTTTTGGCATCAAGGTAAATTTTTTACCTTTCATGATTGAATTTATAATAATGTTTCTTTTTGTGTGTGTTAAATCAATTTAACTTAGATTTCAGTTTTTTAAAAAATATATTCTAATATTTTATATAATATTAATGTTTATTAACATGATCTCCAAAAAATTAAAAAGAAAAACACCCAAAAATTATGTTTTAATATAACCAAAACATTCTCCTTGTTACTTTTGGAATATGTTGTTTTTATTTTTTTCAATGTAAGTTTATTAAAATGATATAATTTTATGGTATTTTTTCTCCTAATTTTTAAGAGATTCAATTAACAACCACATTTCTCTCTTTTTATTCATTTTTCAATTGATCATTACATGATTTATGTCACGCCCCAGAACCCAAATCCGAGGACGTGGCAGACGCCGTGCACTCATGAGAGGGTCCCACAAATGCACAAGGCTCGGAACTTATCAAATTCACACTCTGATACCATCAAAATCTGAAGATCAAATCTTTAAAATTTACTCCGATAACATAAATCTCCAAATACACTCTGGTTTACAAGATCATGATTTACTTCTAAAATCTATATCAATCCCGAAATGGCTAGCTTTCTAACTCGTCACTTCCCGTGGTTTCTCCGTCCTCGGATTCACTTCCTGAAATGGTGGACAAGGAAAAACTATGAGATAAACTCAGTAAGTAAATATGGAGTGCCCCTTATCAAACTTAAAGCATGCTAACAAGTACAATCACGAAAACAGATACAGTACGAGAACGAAATAGACGTCTCCTTTATAGGTCACGGCCAGTGTATAATCCCCACTAGCAGGGCCACGATTTGCTGGTGTATAACCCCCACTAGCTGGGTTGAACGAACCGGCTCTATCGCTACATGTCGACATGTGCTAGCGTTTATAACCTCCCCCACTAGCATGGTCACAAATAACATGACCACATCGGAGACAAAACAGGCAGAAGTTAACAGGAAAATCACAATTCACAATCACTTTCAGATCATCAGGACAGGCACTTAAATTTCAAGTAGGCATGCTCAATTTCATGAAAAGCACAAAACATTTCACTTCAAATCAGTCATACTTGTGTAAAACGGGTTTAGTACTGCCACCACTTCAAAAACAAATCAAAACATGCTTGAAAAGTCAAAGAGCGTTACCATAATTTTACTTACCTCACTCGCAAAACCGAGCACTCAATTCACGTACTAAACTGACAGAATGATCGAGAACCTAATCAAAACACCTCAGAATTAATACCGGACTATCACAAATTCACACTGAAATCATCATTAGGATCACTTCTAATCACAATGCTATTTCCATAAATCTCCACATGATCAAATATCTCCAAAATCATTCTTATATCACAAACTAATCATTTAAATTCCCGTTAAATGTTGACCCTCGGGGGTGAACAGTAACCGGTGAACATTGACCCCGACGTGAACAGTAACTCCGACTTTCACAAATTGGCCAAAACACTAGCTAATTCCACAGGATTTTCTCCAAAAATCACAGCAACTAATCAAGCTGATTTACAGTTAAACCAAGCTTAAAAACATAGCTTAAGCTATCAAAATTCATCCCCAATTTCTGCAAACTTTCGGACATCACAAGGGCAGCCAATCCATGGACAAAATTCAACAATTAAAGGGGTAAATTAGGACTTAGAGAAGCTGCCACATACCATAAATCCAGCAAGCAAAACCGGAGCTGCAGTTTGGGAGAGAAGCCGGCGGCAAGTGCAGGGAAAAACTCACGGGCTACCCAAAAATTGAAGGAAATAAGAGCAATCAAAGTTAACCCAAGCCAATTCAAGCAAGAACAAAGGAATTAGGGGCTGTTCTTACCGAAAAAAATGCCCAGAAATCGCCCACAATCAAGAGCAGCCGGCGGAAGGACAAAGCAGAGCAGGGCAGATCCGGCTTTTCCAGCAGGGGGGAAAGATTTCTGGGTTCTAGGTGTGTTCTAGAGCAAGAAAGGAAGGAGAAAACCAAGCTTTCTCACTAGTTTCTCAAGCATGGCTGGGTTCCCCTTTTTTTTTCTTCGGGTGGTTGCAGCGGGAAGAAGAAGAGCAGAATCGGGAATGGCTGGGAAGAAAAGAAGAAAGAAAAAGGAAAGAGGAAAGAAGTTGATCCTTATCCAAAATTCTTCCACTTTTAAGTCCCTCAGCTTTCAGAATGTTGGCTATTAAGCCCAAAACAATATTTTCTCACAATTTAATCCCTAACTCACTTATTTATTCCCGAAAATTTGGGATATTACAATTTATTATTGTGATATTTTGTTTTTTATTGGAAAATTATTGATATACACTTGGTTCAGCACTCTTTGGCACTCGTTTTGGTTTAGCTATTAAAATAAGCTATTAAAATAAGCTATTAAAATATACTATAAATACAATCAATTCAACAGGTTTATGTATCTTGTAGGTGTTGCTACATTTTTAAATTTAACTGTCTTTAATTTCATATTAGAAAATAATAATTTTTAAATGAGTGTGTTGTGCAATATATTGAATGGAAGTGTATGCTAGTCACTATCCTCTTTATATTAATAAATACATTTATTTCTAAATTTTTATTAAGAATATATCGATGAAAAAGACCGAATGCAAGTAAATCTTAATTTCTTGCAAGAGAGAAGATCTAAAAGAAAATGAATTAGGTGCATTGTGGTTGCTTTCTTACAACGCTTTTTCTCACAAAATGTCATAAAAGTGTTAATTTATTATAATTAAATTAATTTAATTTTTTTTAAGGGCTTAAAGACTAGAATGGAGAGCATTAGAGTTAGAGCAAGGGGTGTGGTGGCAAGGAAAGACAGTGACTCTAAATAGTGCCAAGGTCACAGGTGTAGGAACGCAGGCTTTGGTAACCAGTTTCTAGGGTAGACAAAGACTTTCTTTTTTTATAACTTTCCAAAAAAATGGAAGGCTAAAGATTTATGGCACTACTTTCAAATGCATGGAAAAGTTGTTGATGTGTACATATTGAGCAAGTGAGATAAGTGGGAGAAAAGGTTTGGTTTTGTGTGTTTGGTAGGGGTGCTAAATGAGACTCAAATGGAGCAAAGGCTTAATGAGATTTGGATTGGCTTGTACAAAATGAGAGTGAAGATTGCGGGAGACAAGTGACAATAACGCTAGTGAATAGGAGGGCACAAGGCACAATAAATGACAATGAAACAATGAACAAAGTGGATAGACTGGTTTGACCAGGACAATCATACACACAAGTTGTTGTGGAGTAGGGACTAAGGATAGAAAGGTCACCAATATGTGAACAATTATTAGGTGAGAAAGAAGCGTATGTTGGTAATCAAGAAAGGACACCATTACCTGTGATACCGCATGAAGAGAAAGAGGAAGTAGCATGTTGTGATATGAACAATTCCAAAACAAGGGTGGTGGAGAATATGGCTGTAGATGCTTGTGAGGAAATCATTGAATTTTCCCCAATGAGGAGCTTTAATGGCTTGAGGGAGGTATGGTAGTTGTAGTGAAGTTATTGACACTAATAACTAGTATTCAAGAGAGAATAAATGTGGATAGAAGGCTGATCACTCTAGCACCAATAGGTGGGATAAAGGTGTTGCTAACTGAAAGAGTGTTGAGTTATTTACTTGAAGATATGAAGCTTAATAAGGGGTTATTTAATTTTTGGTTTAAGATTATTCAACCATGGGAGATGGTACTAAAGGAATGAAGTACAATGGCATGGCTACATATCTTTGGGATTCATTTGAAGGCCCAGTGTGATAAATGTTTTAAGAAGATTAATGGATCGATGGGACAAGTGATATTGATTCACGAGGATACAAAGAAGAAATCAATCTTGTGTTATGGGAGGATATTGGTTCTATGTTCTAACGAGTGTAAGATATTAAAAAGAATCAAGCTAAAGGTGGATGAGCATATATATGAGGTAGAGGTGGTCGAGGAAGAGTGGCACTCTGGTCTTGATTGATGGCTCTTTGGTCTTGATTGGTGGCTGTCAGAGTGTGATCGGTAGAGTGAATTGAGGATAGAATTGGAATATTATTTGCTACAAAATGAGGATGAGGATCATGAATTGATTCATGCCAAGATTAGTGGCAAGGAAGATGTGAGTATTGATTTGAAGCAATCAATGATGGATGTTAATTTGAATTCAAACATGAGAAATGAAGTGAAAGATAGAAGTAGTTTTCGAATAAAACAAGCAGTAGATCTTGGAGGGGATGTAGGTTATGGGCTATCCAAGGAAATTGGGCTCCAAGGGGATGGTCAAGATGGGTTAGAAGAAAGTAGTGGGCTTGTGAAAGATTATAACCAAGGAAGGCAGTGAGAAATGAGGGGCAAGGGCCCAATGTGATTATTGAAGGGGAATTATCCCTATATCATGAGCTAGAAATTAAAGACTCAGTGGGCAAAAGGTGAAGGAAGATAGAAGAATGCTATCCAACAAGTATGGTGGAAATCTAGGCGAAAGGGGTATAGTGGGTAACAATGAGCAAAAGGCAGAGACAAAGACAGAGGGCTAGAGTTGGACAAGTTGTGGAGGACAAGGTAATATTGGTTGTTAGTGTTTCTCTTTTGGATGGATGCATTGCCAATAGATAGGGTGATTTAGAGAGAGATGAATCTGCATCAGGTAAAGAGGATGATTTGGGTGGGAAAGAGGTTGGGTATTCAATTAAAGGATAATGAAGACGAGGTATAGTCTACATTATTAGAGGTGGATGAACGAGAAATGGTAGAGAGGTTGGGAAGGATGGGAATATAAAGGAAGGACGGAGGAGTAAGGCTATGTGTCTGTTTGGATCAATGAAGATTATGTCTTTTAATGTAAAGGGTTTGGGTGGTGTGTTGAAAAGGAAGGAAGTGGGAAAGCTAATTAGAGCAAAAGAATCAGATTTTTTGTTTTCATAGGAAACTAAGTTGGAGACAATGAATGTAAGCTTATGCAGATAGTTATGGAATTTTAACAAGTTTGATTAGGTTGGGAAGGGATTGACAAGGAGCTTTAAGGGGTTTGTTGTGCATATGGAACAAGCTACATTTTGTTAAGACAAATGATTTTATAGGTGATGGTTTCTTAGAAATATCAGGGGAATGGGGAGCGAATAAGCTGAAATGTTATCTTGTGAATGTGTATGGACCAAATAATAGATAGAAAAGGGTTAAGCTGTGGAAGGAGTTGAGGCATATGGTAATAAAAGAAGGAGGGTGGTGGTTGATTGTAGGTGATTTTAATGCTGTTAGAGGTCTTGAGGAACAAAAAGGAAGAACAAAGGAGAACCTAGATATGAAGGACTTCAATGATTTTATTGTGACAGTAGGTTTAGTTGATATCAAATTGACAAATCACTATTTTACATGGTATAGACCAGATGGTATAGCCATGAGCAGATTAGATAGATTTTTGCTGAGTGCAAAGATGTGTAATATAGGAGGAGAGTGGGTACAACAAGGATTGCAGAGGACTTTCTAATCATTGTAGTATCATCTTGAAAACAAGAACAATAGATTGAGATTGAGAACCAAGGCCATTTCAAGTTTTGGATGCATGGCAACAACACCTAGAATTCAAGAATGTAGTAAAAGATAGGTGGAGTGAGATGGTGGTGAAAGGGTTTGCATGATATAAGTGTACACAAAAGTTAAAATTATTACAAGAGTTTTTAAAGGATTGGAATAAAGAAGTGTTTGGGGATATGGGAGATCAATATGAAAAGGCTATAAAAAAGGTAAAGCAGGTTGATATGAAGAATGAGGTGTTAGATTTGGAAGAATTCAAGCTAGTTCAAAGGCAAGAAGGTTTCCATGAGATGTGGGATATTATGAGGAAAAGGGAAGTTATATGGAAACAAAAGTCAAGTAGCAATTGGGTGTGTGAGAGTGATGAAAATACATGTTCCTTTCATAGAGTTGCAAATGGTAGAAAGGCTCAAAAGAGTATTTTCGATCTCTTGTGTGATGGTAGGTGGGTAGAGGATCCAGATGTTGTTAAGAAAGAGGTAGCCAATTATTTTAGTAAGTTGTTTCAAAGAGACATATGGAATAGACCCAAGCCTGGTGGTATTAATTTTAAGTACATTTTTGAGGGGAAGAAACAATGGCTTCAAGGACCATTCTCTACTAAAGAGATTGAGGAAGGGTTAAGGAGCTGTGACGGGTCTAAAGCACTAGGGCTGGATGGTTACAACTTCAATTTTTTCAAATTTGCCTAGAATTGTATAAAGGAGGATTTTATCATTTTTTTTTAAGTTTCATCAGAATGATAGATTAGTTAGAAGGCTGAATTCCTCTTTTTTAGCTTTAATTCGTAAGAAGTACAATTCTATGGAATTAAAGGATTATAGACCCATTAGTCTGATTGGTTGTGTGTAGAAATTTTTGACTAAGGTGCTAACTAATAGACTTAAGTCTATGATGTTAGAGATAATTAGTGAAAATCAATTTGCTTTTTTGGGAGGTCGCCAACTGGTTGATAATGTTTTGGTGTTGTATGAGGTAGTGGAGGAGGATAAGAACATGAAACATTCGGCTTTTGTTTTTAAGGAAGATTTTGAGAAGGCTTATAATTGTGTTGATTGATCATTCTTGGATTGGATGATGGATAGGTTTGGTTTTGGAACCAAGTGGAGAGGATGGATTATGGAGTGTCTTTCAACTGATAGGATCTTGATTATGGAAGCCCAACGAAGGACTTCAAGGTAGGAAAAGGACTACGATAGGGTGATCCTCTATCTCTTTTTCTTTTTTTGATGATTAGAGAAGGATTACATGGTCTGGTTCAGAAAACAGAGATGGAGGGAATGTTAGACGGTATGGAAACTAGCAAGAAAGAGTTGGTTGTATCTTTACTTCAACTTACTAATGATACAATTATTATGGGTAAAGCTAATATTGGGAATATACTTATGGTTAAAAATATTTTATGGTGGTTTTAGCTAATGTCTAGTTTGAGGATTAATTATAGTAAAAGTATTATTTGTGGGCATAATGTGTCTGCAAGATGGTTAAAAGGATCAGCAAGTATTTTGTGATATAGTGTTGGTGGAACACCTTTTTTTTATTTGGGAATGCCTGTAGACGAAAAATCTAGGAGTAAGAAGTTGTGGGATTTGGTTGTTAATAAATTCCATGCCAAGCTTACTGTTTAGAAGGCTGCTTTCCTTTGGAGGTCGCCTCATTCTACTCAATTTAGTATTTTCTGCTTTACCCATTTTTTATGTGTCTTTATTTTTAATTCCAAATTTGTGGTTTGTGAGTTGATTAGCATTCAAATGAATTTTTTGTGGGCTGGCGTTGAGTTAAAAAAGAGGATTTCATAGGTTAAATAGGATTTTGTTTGCTATAGTAAGGCAAAGAGGGGTTTAGGGATTTCAAATTTGCATAGAAAAAATTGGACATTATTAGGGAAGTGGTGGTACAGATTAGGTGATAGTGTGAAGAGCTTATGGAAACAAGTGGTGTGGGAAAAAATATTGTGGGGGCAAGAGAAAGGTGAATATTATGGTAGTTAAGAGTGTCTAAGATTTGTAGGGATGTTATTAGTATAAGGGGACAGTGTATAAGGCTTAGGAATATGTTAGTGGAAGGGTTTAAATGGGAGGTGGGTGAGGGAAGCAGTGTGGGCTTTTGACAAGAACAGTGGTTTGGAGACAAAAATTTAAGAGATTTATGTCCAATACTATTTGAGTTATCTGTCAAGAAGGAGAGCAAGGTTTGTGAAACGAAGGTTTGGGAAAGGGGTAGATGGCATTAGAATGTAGAGTGGAGGAGGGGGTGAATAAGATGAGAGAAGGATGAGGGGAAGGTGTTGGTGGAAGTGCTGGGCAATATATAGTTAAAGGAGGGTGTTGGGGATTGTTGGGTGTAGATGCATGATTCAGATGAAAGATATGTGGTGAAGATAGCTTATGAATTTTTAGCTTCTATAGAGTGTGTAGTGTGTTTTGGAGGATTTGTTTTGTAAACTAATTTGGTGTTGTTTAGTGCCTTCCAGAGTGGGGTTTTTTTTTTTTTTTTTTTTTGGGTGGTGATTGTGTTTGGATAGGCTTCCAACAAAGAGGAATCTCCAAAAACAAAGGGTGCCTCTAGAGGGGAAAGGATTATTGTGTGGTTTGTGTAATGAGATGGTGGAGGAAGCTAATCATTTATTTTTGGCTAAATACCCTTTTTGGTCCCTCTACTATTAAAAAAGCCTATTTTTGGTCCTTATATTGAAAAAATCCCTTTTTTAGTCCATAAAATTTGAAATCTAATCCCTTTTTAGTCCCTCCATCAACTAAGCCACAACATGGCATTATAATATGTTAAATGTTGTCTTTTCTTTTTCAATGTTGACATGTAATTACATGTTAATCAATGGGGTCCAAAAAAAGATATAGAAATGCCATGTGGGAAAAAATTGATGATGTGGACCAAAAATTTATTTTTTTTCTCCACAAAAATACTTGGAAATACAATGCTAATAAAAAAGATAATGTGAATAGGAAAACATATTAAATTATTATAATGATTTTACTAAAATCATTTAAGATGTAGTATTTAATTATTTATTGTCTTTGACCAAATTTAATAGTTTTAATTTAATTCTTTTTACCGTTCAAACATAAATTAAAAAAAATGTTAAACTACTGTAATAATTTTACTAAACTCATTTAATATGTAATATTTATTACTTTAACCAAATTTAATAATTTTAATTTAATTTAACTTTTTTTACTTTTCAAACATAAATTAGATAAAAATTTAACAATTTTCAACACAAATGTTTGTTCTTTCCATCCTCTCCAAAATTAATTTTTAACAGCAATTCTTTTCTCCTCATTCCTAAATACACTTCAATTTCAGATAAAATTTGTTCCCATAATCTTGAGCAATATCGCCTCCCCTCTACCAATTTTGATGACTATTTAACCATGAAATCCAAAATCAACACATAGAAAATCCTAGATCTAGTACCCGAGCCAAGAAGGGTGAAGCAAAAAAGAACCGAAGAAAAAGACACAACCAAAGAAACTCATATCAAAGTAAGACAACAAATGAAGAAATTCAGAAAAATAGAAAAGGAAAGGCACAAGAAAAACTCAAGAACCAAAAAAATCAAACTAGCAGATCTGTACTAAATTCAAAGAAGAACTCGAGTTTCTTCATCATTTCTTGATTTACACAGGAAAAAAAAAAGGCAATAAAAAGGCAATCATTAGGATTTGGGTGTTGGAAATTGAGTGAGCAATGGTGAAGTTCCTAAAGCCAAACCCAACCCATTGTCCTTTAAGGTCGCCATCATCATTCAAGGCCGCCATCATCCTTCAAGGTCATTGCGCCAGTTGCTAGGTCATCATCATCAAGTCCTTCAACAACGACAAGCGAGATCACTTCTTTGGCTACTACTTGGTCATCGAGATAAAAGTGCCAACCAAGGTCATTCGAAAGGGCTTTGATAGATTTAGGATGAGGAGAAGAAGGGGTTGCTGAAGAAAGGTAAGAGCTTTAATGGAGATGAAGATTGGTGTGAAGATTTTAAGGCTTTGATGGAGGAATGGTTAGCGAAGAAGAAATCAATAGATGAGAGGGGGATTAGGTTCATGCCAAGGTAAAGAGGATTAGGGATTTGAGCTTAGGAAGAAGATGAGGCAGAAATGGGAAATGAAAAAGACAAAGGGAAAATGATGATTTTTTCTTTTAATTATTTTAGAACCTATTGATTACATGAAAAGTAAATTTTATTGCCAACTCATCAATTTTAAAATGTGTAATCACACATCACCATTAAAAAGAAAATACATATATATATAATGGATTATAATGTCACGTTGTGACGTAACTGACGGAAGAACTAAAAATGGGTCAAATTTCAAACTTTAGAGACAAAAAAAGGGATTTTTTTCAGTATAGGGCCTAAAAAGGGGCTTTTTTCAATAGTAGAGGGATCAAAAAGGGTAGTTAACCTTTATTTTGTATGTGCAACAAAGCCTAGATAGATTGGGTAAAGGTGTTGCATTGGTGGGGTATGGAGACTGTTTTGTCCAATACAGTGGTGGGAGTGGCAAAAATTTTCAAACATGGATTGGGTAGGATAGTAGGGAAGGAGATGGGTGCTTGTATTTTTCTAGTTGTTTCATGGTCTTTATGGTATTGGAGGAACATTCAGCTGTTTAATAATGAAGTAAGCTTTAGGGAATGACTGTTGGAAATGGTGCAAGTTAAAACATTTTTTTGAATTAAGAATAAAGTGAATGGCTGTGTCTTTTCTTTTTATGATTGGAAGGCAAGTCCAATTGAGTGTGCTCTATCAGTGAGAAAGCATAAAAGGCTATTGAAGTAGTTCCATAAACATCAATAGCAATGTGCATGAAGACTAAAGCCTAGTTGTGTGTGCTGTATTGGTGTGAAAGTGCATGCGATGCTGAAGTTGTTCCAAAAGTAGAGGTATAGGGTGTATGAAGACCAGATGAGTAAGGATGTTTCTAACTATTGAGTTTTAGCTTTGTTAATATTTCGTTTTGGTGGTTTGGACAATATTGTGAATAGTTGGTTTTTTATATTTATATATAGGTAAGAGCACCCCTTGTGCTCCATATAATAAACTATTTTACTTTGCTAATAAAAAAATTAATCGTCTTATCATATATAAAAGAATATTAAAAAAGTCACAATCACAACACTTCAAGTAATCCTTAATGCAACCTTAGTGTCTTAAAAGATACTTGAAGACTCAAATCTTCAACAACAATTTTCGCCCCCCCTAATCAAATTTCCTAGCTCCATCCCTTAAGATCACTGAGGGAGAGATTAGTTTCAAGGTATGCAAATGTTGGCCTAAGGACACTCTAACCATAAATACCCAAAAAAAAAAAAATTGTTTTTGATATTAAATTGTACAATAAGATGTAATTCTCTCGTTTCTTAACTTGCATAATAAGAAGTAATATCAAAATTTGTTTTTGATATTAAATTGCACAATAAGAAGTAACTCTCTCCCATTTCTTAACCCAACTTGTCCAATATTATGTGATTTAAATTTAAAATTTCTTATTTTTATTAAAAGAAAATTATTATTAAATTACTTAAATCGTTGAGAGTTAAAGCTGTTAATTAAACTCCAATATACAAATTTATTTCATATTATAATGTACTATGTTCTAGGGGTACTTGGTTTGGGGTTTGATTAACAGCTATTAGCTGTTTGTTCTAATTGATAAATTAAATACTTTTAATTTTAAATAACAACAATTGTCAACTATTAGATATTAATTATCAGTTATCAATTTTATTTGAAAAGTTAATCCAAAACCCCCACATAACTTCGTAATATTATAATATTATAATATTTTAGTACAATTTGAGTACAACTGATTCTCATAGAGAAAAAAACTAATGATATATAACCTAAAAGAAATTTCTTCTTGTGCCTTTCAGTAACCTAACAGCATATGATAGTTTATGCCTTTTATTTTGACCAATGCGCTTTTTAATGCCTTGATGAATCACACTTTCTATATAAATATACAATGATTTAACTTATTACAGTCTACGCGGTTTGTGGGGATCCAAAGTGCACCATCACCGCGTATGCTTTCAGTGGTCATGCTTTTATGTTCAAACAAAATCCAATAAAGACCTTCATAAATTCTTAACAAATTCTTTAGTCGCTTCTTCTCTTTCATCTTTGCAGCCAAAACAACTTCTTTGGTCTTTTCTCCGATGAAGAGAGACATGGAAACCATCATATCATCTATACTGTTTCCAGCCTTCCTGTTCATTGCTGGCCTTTTAAGCCTATATTTCTATTTTCCCACAAAAAAAATCTATTCATGGGTCAAATCCTTCTTCTCAAACAGTAGTACTTTAGCAGCTGTTTCTCCTCCTACTACAAGTCCTCAGGTTTCATTCCGGAAAAGGAGTGGTGATGGTAAAAAAGTAGAGCTCAAAAGGATTTTCTCTACCTTTGACAAGAATGGTGATGGGTTCATAACAAAGGAAGAACTCAAAGAATCTCTCAAGAATATGAGGTTTTCGACAACTGAGAAGGAAGTGGAAGAGATGGTGGTGAAAGTGGATGCTAATGGAGATGGGTTGATTGACTTTGATGAGTTTTGCATCTTGTATGAGGCTATGGTTTGTTGTGCAGAGTCTACCGGAGAAGGAGGTGGGACGGAGGTGACAACCGGTGGAGGAGAAGAGGAATTGAAAGAGGCTTTTGACGTGTTTGATCAGGATAAAGATGGGTTGATTTCGGTTGAGGAGTTGAGGATGGTGTTGTGTTCATTGGGATTGAATGAAGGGAAGAAGATGGAGGATTGCAAGGCAATGATCAAGAAAGTGGATATGGATGGGGATGGAATGGTCAACTTCGATGAGTTCAAAAGGATGATGAAGGGGGGAGAACTAATTACAGCCTTCTGATCAACTCATCTTCAAGTAATTGAGGCTTTATGTACAGATTACAAGTGCTGAAAATAGGATCATGACCTGAAATTGCATCAATTGCCAAGTTTCTGGTGCATATCAAATGTAAATATTTTGAATGTGACTGTATCTATGTATATATATTTTAAATTTGACATATATGAACGGTTTCCTGGAATCAAATTTGTCAATTTTTTTTTGTTTATTATTGCTTTTGGGTTGAAGAAATCAATAAAGTGAAGGAGGATAGATATTGAGATTCACAAGAGCATATTCATATAAACTATATATATATGTACTGTTCCACCTTAACCTAAAAATGCATGCTGATTGCAGTCAATATCGATTATATATGCCATCAAACTATTTGCAATTTCACAGGTTTTAAAGACTTCAGAAACCGCATTTTCCTAGCACTCCAAATTAGCAGATTATAAGATAGATAAATATTAGTAAAGGGGAGGTGAGGGAAGTGAGGTTAACGGAGGGAAGGGAGGGTATGGTCTTTAAAATATGAGATTTAGAGTGTATTTGGCAAACTTTAAAATGTAATTTTTTTAAAAGTAAATTATTCTTTCACAACTTAAAAATTTTTTAGAAAAAAATTTAAAAATTAATTTTTAAATTAACTTTTAAATAAATTTTGAAAAGGTTATACATTCATATTTTCTCAAAACTTATTGAAAAATTACTTTAAAAGTCAATTTTGAATTTTTCTATAACAAAATTTCAAATTTATGAGAAATAAATTTTCTTTTAAAGCAAATACTTTTTAAGTTTTACCAAACACTCTTTCAATCTCATTTGGAGAAATAGATTAAAAGAAAGTGAAGGGAAGGGTTATATTTTTCTATTTAATTAAATAATTTTTAAAAAATAGAATAAAATTTTAATTTAATATAATTAATTAATTAAAATAAAATACTTAATTACATTTTTGAAAAAAAATAAAAGATATAGGAAATGCTCACTCTCAACCTCATTAGTGAAACAGTTAGTCATTTTGCCCAAATTACTACATAGCTGCAAGGTATGGTTAGTTTTTTGTATTTTAAACTATTATAGATTAAATATTTGGTAAACTTTTTATATAGAAATAGTTTGGTATCTACAATTAATCGATAAGAGACCAATCTATTGGAAAGTAGGTTTTTTTTTTTTTTTTACTATAAACCACTAATAGATTTGAATTTTTTAAATTTGTTGGCAAATTTCACCATTTAGTTATTCAGTTGTTTCCATCGCTCATAATTACTGACTCTCCAAATTGGTTTCTTTTTTCTTGGGCCATCCCCGAAATTGGTTTCAGCTTTCGTATCTTTTCTCAATAATAACATTAATAATATGTTTAGTTTAAGGAAAATAAAAGTGAAGAGAGAATTTTTTGATTAATTAAATTATAATATTTATAAATATTATAATTTGATTAGTTAAAAAATATTTTCCTTCATCAAATTAAACATATTATAATTGATTATAATATTTAATTTTTTTTACATTAACTTACCAGAAAAATATTATGTTAACTTGTTAAACAAAGTATGCTAACAAAAAAATAAAAATAAAAATAAAAACACGTTTTCCCTTTATTTACTTTTCTTTACTAAAACAGAAAAGGAATTAATGTATGATTTATATTTATATATTATTATTATTATTATTATTATTAGAAAAAGTGTTTCTCAATCGAGTTTTTAAAAAATTAAGAGGAAAAAGATCAAAAAAATTATATTATTTTAATAAATTTTCATTTTAAAAAATTAAAATAACCTATTTTAAAATCATAATTGAGTTTATTTTAGTTTTTTTGTAATATTTTTGTTACAACCCGAAAAAGTAGTTTGTAAACACTACTGTAAATTCTAGTCGAAATTTACTGTCATAATAGTTTCTATTCATAGATGGACAAGTCTTTAACTACATTAAGCTAGAAATCATTTCCCTGGTTCAAAATGAATGTTCTTAAGCTCAAAATATAACTAGCTAGCACATAACTATAAGTTTCAAAATGAATTTTATAAGCATACAAACCACAAACTTGGCTTGATTTAGGTCCAGTCCCAAAGCTGAATTGAACATAACAACATATTTACATAGCCATCAAAAGGAATAGCTCTCCAGAAAACTGTATTTTGTACACGAAAGAAATTTTAGGTGGCCAGCTTGTTTACAACTAGTTTTCAGCCATGACAAGGTTTTGGTCAAAGAACAAGTTTGTGTTACCAACTCAACTGCCAAGCTATATCTTTGGTTGGTTGAGGTGCTCCTGGGCTTCTCAAGTATTTATAAATTGCTATAAAACGCACTAACCTGTAACAACAAGGAAAAAACAATATTTCCACGAGCTATAATGCCTCCTAATTAACTAATAGCTTAACAAACTACCACTATTCAAATTTGTCAAACCAAAATCTGTTCTTAACAGTATTTAATATAGTTCTCTGCACATTTGATGATAAAATTTCACTAGAAACTTGTTCACTCCAAGCACAGGCTTACTTGGTCTCCATTCTAGAACAAACTAGAAAAATATGTTCCTTTACCTCAGGGAGCATAAATCCAATCCTATTACACTGCTCTTCAAATGCTGAACAGTTTCTTCAATGTCATAAATAAACATGACATAAATACTCTCAATAACATAAGATAATAGCAAGGCAACCTCATGCTTGTTCAACATGTAGATGAATGCAAGTTCTTAACTATGGATTTTTTTTTTCCCTTGTGGGTGTACCTCCCACCTTATAAATGGCCCAACCATAATTTTTTTGTGATTTGCAAAGGATCTAATAACATCATTTTGTACTCCCAGTCCAACTAGGTTTCATTTTCCTAGTCCAATTGGGTTTCATATTTCCAGTCCAACTGGTTTCATATTCCCAATCCAACTGGGTTTCCAATTGGCTCAACTGCACTGACAATTAATTCACTAGAAAAATTCCACAATAGCACAGAAAATGCAGAAGTTACCCAGACCATTTCAAAGATAATTAATCGTAAATGTCCATCCTTAAATTTCTACTTGAACTTTAAAGAAGTTAACTTAATTTTGTTAAACTTAAAAGTTACTTGCCTCAAATTAAATGAGGTTGGACCCAAACTCTTCCAAGACCCTCAGTTTTGTTGCTGCCCTTGCTGCAAGGCCAACACTCCTTCTCTTTTCTATTTTGCTCGTCTGGTGCCAGGACAGAAGAAAAATAATGAAATTTGTTTTGGTCTTACCCCTCTAAAAGCATCCTAATTCTAACCAAAGTTAGTGGGATTTTAATGCATTCCACTATACTTCCCTCATTGCTGTTGTACACTCACATGCCAAGTGTACATTTACATGTCATTAGTCTACTAAGCCATTTGTTCAATAAACATTGTAATGAAATTAGTCCCTAAACTTCTCTTAATAGTACTAGACTTCAACTATTAATTTTCTAAAATTTAACGACTAAACTGTCAATATTTTTACATTTAAGGATAAGGATGTTTCAATTTTAATAAAATGACATAATTTCTAGATATTTGTTCTCTTAATTTTTAGAAACCTATTCGCCAAAAACCAATATCTTATTATTATTATTATTATTATTATGAGGGAATAGCGAGCATTAAAACTAACTTTAAAAAATTAGAGTTCCAACAAAACGGTTTTCTTTTTATTACTAAGGAATAATGAGCATTAAAACTAACTTTAAAAAATTAGAGTCCCAACAAAACAGTTTTCTTTTTAACATACAAAATTTGTTACAAGGGAGGGGAAACAGGGAAGTAGTAAGTGGAGCTTGAACATGGTACAGTTATAACCACTAACAATAATATTATAATCATGAAAATTGTAAAATATTATCTTTAAAGTATTAATTCTATTTAATTTAATTGATAAAAATAATTAATAACTGTAACTATTAACTAATTACTAATAAAACTATTAATATTTATTAATTGATATAATAAAATAATTAGCTAATAAATTGATAATTTTAGACATTATTTATAAAAAAAAATTAAAATTTTAATAGTCTTAACAATATTAATAGTGACAATAACTATCCCTTAAACATAGCCCCCAATGGTAAATGCCACTTGAGGCCACACCAGTGGACCTGTAGCATAAATTCCAAATTTTCAAGGTCTAGCATGTTATTGTTCCAAAAACAATGCAAGGTCTTAAAATCCGAATTTTCAAGGTCTAGCATGTTGTTGTTCAAAAACCAATCCAAGGTCTAAGGTTAAAATCTTATGGACTTACACTAATGAAAGATTTGAACAATGGGGCTAACCCGAATCACATAGCGCGGAATCAAAACAGAGAGTAATGTTTCAAGGATTTAATTGTCCATGCACCAAGTTTGTGGCTAAACTGGCGGGGTGCCTAAACCATCTCTAAGATATGGATTCAAATCCCTCCACCCTCAATATCCGGTAAAGAAAAGATTTGACTGTCTATTTTTCCCTTCTCCAGTTTCTTTTTGAAACATTATTATACAAGTATGCCCTCCCTCCACTTTCTTATTAAACTTTCTTATACAATGAATGATGCTTTCTAAGGTTGTATTCACTAGTAAGTATATTTTTGTAGGTTATTTCAAATTAAGTCTTAAAATCAACATCTAAAGAAATTTAATTTGCTTTAATGCGGAGATGAATCTTAAAATTATTTAGAGAGAGAATTGCAAGAACTTATCCAAAACACCCTAACCAGATAAATAAATAAATAAATAATAAAACACTACGCCCTCTCAATAATATCGCCATGCTATCAGAGCATGAGATGCGCAATACAACAAACAACTTGCAGGTATTTTAGTCCATAGGCCACAAAAAAAGCCATAATTTGAATACATTTTTATTATCCCAACAATAAACAGAAAAATAAGTGGTTAACACTCAACAGTGTAATAGAACAAAGGCACAGTTAGGTATTCAGGAAAGAAAGCCACCTCCATCACCATGAGATTGAAAAATAACTTGGAGAGGGGGATCAAGAGCAATATTTGTTCACTCATATCTGGGGGTATAAAGCCTGCAACATTCATTACAACAAATTAACAATAATTCAAGAACAAGAAATCCTAAACATGTATTTTTCTTTTTCGCCGGGTCTAGACACGTATTTGATAATTGCAAAATGAATCTTCAATTACGTCCTACCCTTCAGGAAACAATCACTATGTGATAGAAACCAATAGAAATCAACTGACAGTACACATTCAAACTCTGGCTAAATTTTGATTGTCTATTCGTAGTGAAGAGTAGCATCTGCCAAGCCAACTCAAATAATGACTAGAAAACATCTGGGTGGAAACGGCCTGGGATAGAGCTGCTTTGCCGGGCTTGCTTCAAGTGCATTGTCAATGCATAGTTGTTTACCTATTGGTGACATCCAATGATAAAGACAAATCAAAATTTATCATATCAGAGAATTTGAAGGCAGTGAATATGTAGCATCCACCATGCAATCAAATAACAAGATATTCAAGGTAACATGCAAATTGCCCATTTAAATAGGTGCATAAGCTGAAAAAGAACAAAGTTTATGGGCCAAACCTCAAGGGTTCTCAACTGCTCCTGGTACTGAGACAATAGTTGCTTCAGATGCTGCAGTTCCTGGTTCTGATCTTCATACTCTTTCTGACGCTCATTCTGAATAGACACAGCTCGCTTAAGAATGTTATTTTCTTGGATAAGTGCTTCAACTTGTTCTTTCAGTATCGTATTTTCCTATAAAAAGTCCAGTAACAATTAAAAATGCTAAGCCAAAAAAGTAAGAATTACAACATCCTTAAAAGGAATCTTACAACCAACATGTGCCCTACAAACAAGCCATCCTGTATTGTCAATTCGTAAACCCACTAAAAGGGGTTTTAATTCAATGGAATTGATTAGATGGGAAGTAGAAAGAAAAATAAGACTCTAATATTGATGTCCCTTAGAGTCATCCTGGCAGTTAAAAGCTTGAGACTCCAAGTTGGAAGTGGTTTTGGGAAGGGAGGGATATTCCTTATTGTACAGCCCATCATCAAACCTAACCACCCCCCCCCCCCCCCCCCCCC